AGATATCAGATATTTAATTAATAGCTAAATGCCCTGACACTGACAGAATCTCTACGGATTCCGGCCCCTTATGCCTCACTTCCTAGACACTAACTGAATCTCATAGGATCCAGGCCCCTTATGACTCCCTTTGTGCTCAAGGCACCAGAACAGATGTGCTTATAGCACCAGAACAGAATTCATCGGATCCGGAACAGAACAGATATCAGATTTCAGATTTGAGCTCATTTCAGATTTCTCAGACACTAACTGAATCTCATAGGATCCAGGCCCCTTATAACTCCCTTTTTTATAGCATATACATATAGCATATTAATTTAGAAGAAATCCGGACAGATCAGAAATCAGACAAAAATCGGGCAGCACAACGGCAGTATACGGAATTTACACAAATTTTTCCTGAAAATCACAAAATACCAAATTTGCACAGAATATAGTAATAACATTTCAGAACATTTATTCTACTGTATAGAAAATTTTCAACTACACAAAAAAATCCAGTCGAAATAAAACCCAGTCGAATCAAAAATACCCGGACAAAAATCTTTAAAATATAGTCAAAACGTGCGCACTCGGCACGGCAACAATATACAAAAAGTTACGTGGTAAAAACTGAACCAATCAAAAGATACGGACGAAAATCGCTAACGGAAACAAAATCCGGACAGAAACTACCGCCAAACACGACGGTTCTGAAAATTGAGAAAGGCGGAATGTGCCTTACCTTGCGTACAGCAAAAACCTGAACAATCTTGTCGGACGAAAACGGCTCTGCGTCGCCCGAAAATCAACTTTTCCAAAAATGCCCTCGACTTTCTCTCTCCTCAAAATTAGATATTTTATTTTTTTGATTTTCTCTCTCTTCAAAACGACTGATTTTAGCTTTATAATACTCAGATCGGCCCGGCCGATCTCCAGATCGTCCCGGGACGATCAGACCAAATTGGATCGTCTTGGACGGTTCCTAGAACTAGTTTCAGGCCGATATTTTGAACAGTGCCAATCGGCCTGGCCGAAGCCTAGATCGGCCTGGACGATGCATACAGAAAATCACCTGGAGAAAATCTGGGCAAATTCTGGAGCAAATTCTCAACTGATCGTCCCAGGACAATCCTGGAGCAGATTTTGATATTACACTTTAGGTCTGACTCGATCAATTTGACCAAGTCAACTCCCCAGACCTAGGTTTGGGCAAAATCGAGGTCAACAGTTATGATATTCATAACACTCTTGAACTATAAATTCCTAAAACCAAATAATTAGATTTATATCAATTAAAAATAAATAAATAAATAATATGTGCAATAGTGATAATTTTAGGAGTTTGCAATAATAGTTGTGCGCCTCCATCACGCACCCATTGTATATTGGGCAATAGAAGAGTGTGTGTGAATTAGTGCAACATACTAATACATTGGAAGGTTATCGTTTTATTTGACCAAACCATCTTAGGCGACTCTCTCTAATTTTATCTTCTATTGGAGCTACTCCAACCATTTCAAGTATATGCTCATTTCGTATTATGTATCTAAGAGTAAAGCCACTCATCCACCTAAGTGTCCTCATATCTGCAACACTTAACTTAATATTTTTCTTCTCTTTTAAAGACCAACATTCTACACCATAATAAAACATTACAAGTCTCACCGTCATTTTTTAGAATTTTCCCTTAAGTTTTAGGGGAACTTATCTATCATACAATAAGTCCGATGCATTCCTCCATTTCAACCATCCAACATCAATTATGCTAATAATATGTCCATCCATTACACCATCACCATGAACAATGGACTATAAGAGTAAAGCCACTCATCCACCTAAGCATCCTCATCTCCACAACACTTAATATTATGATTCTCTTTTAATGTCTAACATTCTGCACCATAAAGTATTTTAGCTCTCACTATCATTTTATAGAATTTTCTCTTAAGTTTGAGAGGGACTTTTTTATCACACAACAAGCCCGATGCATTCCTCCACTTCAACCATCCAACTTGAATTCTGTAAATAATATATCCATCAATTACACAATTACCATGAAAAATAGACACTAAGTGTAAAGTCACTCATCCACCTAAGCATCCTCATCTCTGCAACACTTCACTTAACTTAATATTATGCTTCTCCTTTCATGGCCAACATTCTACACCATAAAGCATTGTAGGTTTCAAAACCATCTTATAGAATTTATCCTAAAGTTTGAGGGAAACTTTTCTATCACACGAAAAGCCCTAAATTATGAACAATCTCCATGCATATGCTAATTAACCTTAAAGTATAAACAATAAACTTGAAATGAAATGGAAGGAAGATTACCTTTGAAGTCAATCATATGCAAAGGGGCTATTTGGATGCAGGATTTATGGCGGATTTATAGGATTTGGCTGAAGAAGCGTGCGAAAGGGAGAAAGCTATCTTCACAGCAAGCGAGCTCCGATCATTTCTTCCGATCAAAATGTCTAACTTCCGATCCAACAGGAAGGGAACCTCGTTGAGTCGAATGAGTGAAGTCGAACAATGGTGAAGGAGCCAAAGAAGAAAAAAAATGAAGAAAATTTGGAGACGGACAAGAGAATTGAAGGAACATCTTCAAAGGAGACGATGGCATAGGGGTCATTGAAGGAATGCCGCGTGCACGACAACATAACATAATGGAGCAAATGAAATAAATAGTGAGGATGTCGGTTTAGATAGAAGTGTTTGTAATGAATTTGCGGCGGATTTATGAAGGATTTGCGATGGAAAATCCTTTGCAAATTTGCGGCGTATTACCGCCACAACTCTGTCTCAAAATAAACGACGGAAATTTCCATCGCAAATCCACCGCCATTTCAAAGAAAAAAAATCCCGTCGCAAAGTCCATCGCAAATTGCTGATTTTTCTACAGTTAATGGTGTGGGGATGATTGTAGAGAGATCTTACAGTATAAGAAAACTTTTAAAATAAAGATAAGATATAGTATCACTACTCACTAAAGTAGCAATGGTGAAGAGATCCCCAAACATCTTGCCAAACACCAAGCCTCATCTTCTTAGATGAAACTTCAATTTTTATAAACAAAACAACAATTTCTTTTATACTTCATTCTAAAATAAAACCAAATTGAGGGAGGAGTTAGAGTTGGCCCACTTAAAGAGGTTTAAAATAGTTATACACATTGGAAATCTATAACCACCTCTTTCAATGACGAGGCCAATCATAATTAATTGGAAATTCATACTTTTTAAACCACCCATTCTATTTAAGTTCACAATCTAACATTCTCTCCTCCTTATTCCTCCAAGATTTCAAACTTCAAAACTCAAATTTTCAAAAATTTAAAAAACAATATTTCAAATTTCAATTACAATCGCAAATCACAAATATATATTCTCCTACACCAATTATCACAAACATAAAATAAAAATGCTACTTAAGACACATAATTTTTTTTTTAAAAAAAAAAACTCTACTTAAAAGCTTTCATTTTGCTTCCTTGTCCCAGGCCTCTAAATCTTCTTCTTGGATGTGACATCTTGTGCCGCATAAGAATCTCAATGAATTGAAGGTAAATTTCAAATACATAATAGAATCCTTCTTTTTGGGAGGGAGGAATATGGAAAGTCGTAAGTGAAGAAAGTAAGTAAAGCTCTAAGTAATTCTTCCAAGCAAGAAGTACTCCAGGGGGTTGTGTCCCAAGAAGAGGTGTATTGAGTGCATATCTTATAGGAGTGTCAATATTGGACCCGACCCGAAAACTCGACCCAAAACTAGTAGGTTCGGGTTCAACAATTCGACCTGTTTCAAAAATCAGGTAGGGTTCGGGTTGACCCGTTGACCCGAAATTGACCTGTTTTGACCTTAAAATCCGTTTTGACCCAGCAACCTGAGATTGAACCGTTTTTTACCCGAAAATTGGAGATTGACCAGTTTTTGGACCCGAAAACTAGCGGGTTTTTGTTGGCACCGGATCATTCGGGTCGGGTCGGGTCGGGTTGACCCGGACCAGAAGCGGGTCTGATTCGAGTTCGGAAAACCGACCTGTTTGCACAAACGGGTCGTGTTCAGGTTGACCCGAATAGTGCCGGGTCAATTTCAGGAACCTGAACCGTGACTCGAAATTGACACCCCTAATATCTTATCGACTCGACCATCCTGAAAAGAAGAGAGAGAAGGCATCTTAATCTACACTTCATCATCTATTTTAGTGAGACTGAAGAATGAAGGCGATAGGCGCAATAAGAAATAGGTCAGCTTTCCATATAAATTGAAGTTCTCGGTTATAGCAGCGAAGGAATAGATTGGAGAAACAAATGAGATTAGCAAAGTTATGATAAAACAATCATAGGGTCTGCTATTGGGTTAGGAGACCAGTAGCCTTAAGCAGCAAAATAAAATGGATTTTAATGGGTTTTGAAAGACATGAACGTGTTCAGCAGGTTTCGGTGAACTGTTTTTCAGAACCGATAGCAGTATCTTCTGCAATTTATTATTAAGGAACATTAAGTGAATTTGGTAATTTGTAAAACGAAGTATATAAAAAGTTATTATTTCTAGATCAATAAATCGAATAAAATTTTAATTAAAATTCAATTAAATATACAAAATTAAAAATACACCTTAATTAAAAACCCATTTTTGTAAAAAATTCTTATGCAAAATTCAAGTAATTATTTTGAATCGATTGTCATAAAAAAGAAATTGAGTTCATATTTCATCATAAAAATGTATGAAATTAGATGAATAAATGCGTGAAAAAAAGATCGGCTGAGGGGCAAAAAATAAAATTTGGGAGGGGTAGATTACAAATAGCATTGACTATACTAAGTTTTAATTTTTTATAGCACATGCCAGTAATGAGAACTATGAATAGAAGGAATTAATGCACTATTCTTACAGGAAAATCACATTAGCATCCCCAGCTATGCGTCAGTTGCTAGTAAGAGTTCCTTACAACAAGTGATTACATTACAAAGCATTGCATATCAGAACAGTATGAACCTAAGTACAGCATCGAAACTTTCACTAACAAAAGGCAAATGTGGCTCACCAAAATACTAGCTATCCCTTCACAACACTGCAAGGTCCACCCCTACTCCATTAGTGTACACAAACTAAGGCCTTAACATCTCTTATTTATGTGCATCAAAAGCTCCATATCTGTTTTTTGCTTAGACCCACAATAGAGAAGTCTTAGAACTTCTTCTTGTGGTCTGACTTATCATCATTTTCTGCCAGTTGCTGCTTCTCTGCATATTCAAACAGGCTTCCATCGAAGCAACGACGAGCCGCCTCCCTCGAAAGAAAGCCCTCTTCATCCCTTGCAAGTAAGTATAAAGCAAACCACTCCAGCTTTGACGCAATCCTGCATTGAGGTTTAGACTCTTATCATGGAAATGTAAGAATAACGGACAGAATTTGATAGTTAGAATCTGACCACCCAAAGATATCAAAAGAAACTCGACAGCATTCGGTCATGGACCACAATTCACTTGAGGATAACTTATCAGGTGCCGTCTGTGCATATTTACTGAATATATTCTCAAAGCTTGCAGGAATATATCTGAATTAAAAGCATAAATCCAATACAATTAGTAAAACTATTTAATGTTTAATTGTATTTTTTGTCATCATACCGCAACAACAGTAGATTACCTTCCCTCATTGTCATAAGTTCCAGAGTCACTTCCATGCTTGCATTTGTGTATGTTGGCAATGTAAATTGGAAATAAGGGATTGGGTATCCAATACTGCAGAAAAATAACACGAATGATATAATGTAAAATATGATGCATGATTGTAAGAAAAATTATGAAGAAAAATTGTTTGGGTTGTAGTTTCAGCTTACTGGTAGAGTTGAATAGCTCATAGTTCCATTGATAAAGATGGCCATGAATATAGACATTAAAGGATTGAATCCAAGTGCTCGGCAACCTATCAATTGATGTTATTCAAGTAACTAAACTAATCAAAACGATCAGGTTTTAGAATTTAGTCGATTTTTCTTCAGATTGTTTTCATGCCGGGACATAGAAAATTTTCAATTATACATTTCTGGTGTTATAAGAAATTAACCTGCATAAGTTTCCCAAGGGTATATAATTCCATCTTGATCTCGATCAAAGAAGGCAACATGCTGCTGAAGAACACTCATTTCATTATGAGTATGGTCTGTGCTGCCATCAGGGTGGTAAATGTCTGGTGCAAATAGAGCTCTAGCCAGGTCTGGAGAACGAAATTAAGTAAAGTATAGATCCTCAATATTTTTTCTTCAAAAAGTATTATTTTTCTTCTCAACAATAATAAAAATGGAAATTTGTTGAATTGAGCATCCTATCCTTTTTATCATACTGTAAATTAATCCAATCAATTCAAATTTAAACATCAAAGATGCTTTAAAATCTGGCCTTAACTTATTGAATTATTTTCTTATTGAGTTTTGAGGTTCTATATGTGAGATGCAAATGATTCAAGAACCAATTTCTCTTCTGAAAGTGAGCAAACTAATATTGTAAAATATATAATCTTGTATATGAAATAGAAAAAAATTTTTTCTTAAAATTTGAGCAATTGGATTTATTGAAAGTAGGCAAAATAGTTAAAATATTTATTGTTCTAAAGAAAAACAAAATTCTCACCCAAAGCTCTTATTGGTTCCACCCCTATCATCAAGCATAAATAATTTCATATATTTTCATCAAAATTGACATAATTCTCTTGATCTTACTTCCAATATTTTGCAAGGTTCAAATGCGCATGCGCGTTTGTGTGTGTATATATATATTTATTTAGTTTTTTTTATTATTATATTCATTTAGTTATTTGTTCAATATGTTCAACGTATTTATCTCCTTAGTCATTTGGGACGGCTTTCTTACTGTTAAAATGTTTTTTACTAAAAAAAACTGCTTTAGCAGTGAAAAAGTAGCCCCGAAGGAAGCCTAAATCATAAAAAAATAAGTATCATTAAATAAGCATTTCATCGGACTCTGTTGATTGGTTTGATAAACAATAAATGAGCATATTAACAAACAAGAATGAGTGAATGGGTTCACAATCACGCTAGTTTATTTACACAATCATATAAAAATTTTTAAACAAAAATAACCCTTATATGGTCAGTTATCAAACTGTCACCAAATTTTTTAAAAAAATTCAATTACTGATATCCTAATGAAGATAATCGTTCTCCCTTACTTCAATGAAAAGAAATTGGCAGTGCAGGAAACAGAGAGGAGCCAGAGAAAGAAAGAGAGCTCACAAGGCTTGGGAATGAAGTTTTCGAGGTCACTTCGCACTCTCTTCTCTGAGGTTGCTGGCTCTTTCTCCGCCACAATCTTCAACGACTCCCTCTGCTCCGTCATCTCTTTATCCGCTAGGGTTTTGGGGGTAGAGGAAAGGGAAAATAACGGTGATGTTTTTTATAGAGCCAGGAAGGAGATGAAACCGGAAAGCTTAAGGGGGACGTGGGAGTCTGCATGGGCTCTAGAGCAAGTTATTTGACGGGTGGCTGCTGACGGGGCTTATACTCTTTAAAACTCCCAAGTCTTCATGTCGGCTGACCGCTCTTATTTAAGCTGTATCAATACTGTATTAGGCATCGTTTGAACAGCTTTCAAAAATTTTTTCTTTTCATACCATCATTATAATTTATTTGACCAATATTTTTATACTATTTTTACTAAGACTTCCTTTGTACTTGATATATCATTATCATCAAAAAATTATCTTGACCAGACACGAATCTTGAGGCAAAAATCAAATTGAAAACTTAAAAAATTAAATCAGAGATTATATGAACTTTGATTTCAGCAAACTTATAGTCGAACTGAACATCATGTAAATAAGAACCCAATGACACCAAATTCTACTCAATTCGAGCTCAAACGAGTCCAAATCAAAGACCCGAAGTGCATTTGAAAAGTTAAAACCATAATTTGGACTACTAAATAGTTTCCAAATAGAGAATGCTTATAGTCAAATCGAGCGGCTCGAAGAGACGAATCCAACAAGCCCAAGATCGTTGAATTTCGATATCATTAGAACCTTCAAAAGCATGATAAACGATTAACAATCAAGAGATTTAACATCAGTCATCCATACAAACCACTCTCAATTCACCCATGATCTTCTTAATATTTACTGACCATGTCACTCTCAGAAAATTATAAATAGACCCCTCATTCTTCATTGAAGGGGGAGGGAGACAAGGGGGGAAGAAGGGGGCCCATGCAAGAAAAGAAGAGAAGAAAGCAAGGAAGAGATTCCTCCTCGACCACCGCCGGGCTTTCACCCGACTGCCGACCAACATCAGACTTCTACTCGATCACCAACTGGCGTCGGAATTAAGCTAGGAAGCAAAAAAGATAAGAAGAGAAGAAAGATAGCTCTCTGGTCATCAGACTCTTCCTCGAACACTGCCGGAGTTTCACCCGACAACCCACCGATGACAGAGTTATGCCTGAATGCCATCTAACGCTAGAGTTCAGCAACTGACATCAGACTTCTACCGAAGCTGAACCTCCGCTCATCGCCAGATTTCTACCCAACTTCGGACTTCCGCCCGTCGCCAGATTCCCACCTGACGCCAGACTTCTACCCAATGTCGGACTTCCGCCCGTCGCCGGATTCCTACCCGACACTGGACTTTTACCGGTCGTCGGATTCCTACCCAATGCTGGACTTCCGCCCGTCACCAAATTCCTGCCCAATGTCGGACTTCCGCCCGTTACCAAACTTACATCGAACTTCTATCCGACGTCGGACTTCTGCCCGTAGCCGGACATTCATCAGACTTCTATCTAACGCTAGACTTTTGTCCATCAATTTAATTATACCCGAAGCCATCCTTCCGACCTCCGTTGCCAAACAATAATCTTTATGACCTCCATCGACTATGATCCTTTCGACTTACGTCGTCCATCGACAACAGTCCTTCTGACCTCCGTCGCCCATCGACTATGGCTCTTCTGACCAAGTGATTCTTCATGTTTTCACCATGTAAAACACTATGTATGAAGTATATTTATTACATCAAGCCAAGTCCTTCCCCCCAATGAAGGGCCTCATTTGTAATCAACTGTAAATACTAGTGGATTCATTCAAACTGGGCTAGACCCCGTGATTTTCCCCATTTTTAGGGGTTTTCCACATAAAAATCTTATTGTCCCTCTAAATGACACACCCTCTCTCTTATCTGTGTGCATGTTGGATCTTTGTACAAAGCTAAGACATTAAACTTTATATTTCTCTACCACCACGAATACTCCAAGATGCAACAGTTTAACGCCGTCTGTGAGAACGTGATTCCCGACTGGGGGGCAAATTTTGCTTCAACCTCAGAAGGTCATTCATGTCAACTTTATGACATCAACCATTACTGCATTATTTTCATAAGAATCAGATGTGGACTGGGGTGACAACTTTGACTCCAACAATGATAAAAAAATTCGATGGAAAGGCTTTTGCAACGATTTCATAAGTGTCGTTGTAGGAAAGCTTTAGATAAACATATAATGTCAAACAACTTATTCCTATAATAGATAAACATATAAATAACACAACCCAAAAACATATCAGTGAACAAATCTCCAACAATAAATTTAAAGTACCACTAACATTTACACATCATGATATTAAAATTAATTACAAAGGATATACACCGACATTTTAACTTTTCGGCAAATTTTATTTTGATCAAAATTTCCTAAACATGAACAAAAAAATTAGAAAATCACTATGTTATGAGATTAGAATATCATCAAGATAAAATGATTAACTAATAATTACAAAGAGTGACATTCCATTTTTCTCAACAAAGCAGGTCTCATGCATCATGTCATACCCTCCTAGCTTACAGCTCTCAGCATCAGCCTCTTCATACTGAAAGAAACAATTAAAGAAGCAATAAAATCACAAAATGCAAGAGTGGTACAATAGAGGCACAAAAATTGAGCCTGATATATGACATAGTTTGTAAATTGCTAAGAAAATCAAGCTTTGTAATTCATCAATAAAAACAACATAATGGTAAAATGACTAAAATCAAAATTCCACTTTTTTAATTTCATCTAAAACCAATTAATGTATCTAACAAATTTATCAGTCCTTCCAAACATTATTTTTCTAACTTTCTAGCAAACAAAAAAAAAAGTAATTAGCTCATCTTATATGCCTCTTCAGTCTTCACTACACTTATATTAAATTTCTTAATAAATTTCAATAGTTAAACATGACTTGTGCTTGCTTATGGGTTGTCAAATAGCCCATCAATACGCCTTGTGAACAATACTCCATGCCAATAAAAATTCATATGCATCTTTATGTTGGATGAAAAGGATGGAACATAAAACTTAATATGGATAGTTATTAGTGCAATTTTTTTTTGGAAATTTAATGAAGACCATACAGTACATTTATACATATTTAAATACTTAAGCTTGGCAAGCGATCAATTTAATAAAAAACAAGAAATCTAATTATTTAATAAGGAACTGATACAAAAAATCTCAGGACATTGCCTTATTCTTCTCAAACCATATGACTAATGAAGCAACCTCTAATTAAAAAAAAAAACCAAAATAAGGAAGCAGTCACCGAATTAAAAAAGATGCGCAAACATCCAAAAACCAAGCAGCCAGAGATAAACATTGCGAAAAAAAAAAACTGACAAAGGAAATCCTAAACATTTAGTATAAACTCACAAGAGAGAAAGTATTTGCAAAAAAAATAAGGGTTAAAAAAAAAAGAGGTAAAGTATTTACCACATCTCGAACATCGACAAAATGCAAGAATTTGACAAATGACATTTTCTTTTATGTAGACAAAACCTGATCTTACTAACTAGTTTAGCTGATTAGAGCAAAAACTAAGATGAGGAACTTAATAAGTATGAAGAGAAAATAAAAGGTTAAGTGATCTATGTGAATACTAAAAATGATATAAAATATTAAATATGTCTCTTGACCTCTTATTTATAAGATTAAAAGTGTTATAAGATAGACTCCATCTAGAAAAAAAAATAGAAATAATGCATTGTTAGGATTTAATGGAGACATAAAAAATCAATTCGATCGTCTCCGAAAGACATGCCAAATCACCGAGAAGAATTTTCGGAAGTGTACCTGAATCCATTGAAATGCAAAATTGAGGTTTTTAGTCTTCCACGTTTAGAGCGGTGTTCTTCAAGAGAGCGAGAGACCCCTTCTTTTCACTCAAGATGAGAAATGAGGGAAATGAGAACTTAATCGCTTAAACTGGGGACCACGACCCTTATATACTTAAAGTGTAAATATTTTATTTCAGCCCATCATTAAAATAAAATAAATACCGGCCTCTACACAAATTTAATTCCATACAAAATTTAAATGAGATGCCACATAAGCCAAATATAATTTAATACTTAAATAGATCACAAAATTAATTGGCTTAATTTTAGATAGCGTCTAATGTATAATTCTTTATTATATGTATAAAAATATTGGCCCACATATAGAAATTTTCCAACAATCTCCCACTTAGGCCACATTTATATATACATATAATTATACATTCTAAAATAACTGTAAGAGCTCAATATTTGCTATCTTTCTAAAACAACATCTCTAGACAATCTGGTCCATCAATCATATCAATATAGAATCAAAGCGATCTTTGTTACATATTTCGTAATAAGATCTATCAATGGTCACTATGTTGACATAATTAACGACATAGATCAAGTATGGGTGTGTAGCATAAAAAATTCATGTAATGTAATCTCAAATCATGACAATTTTCAACTGGTCTAATTTTATAACTCAAAAAGTTATAACCAAAATTCAATACTTTATGTTAAATTGCAATTGAAATCAAATAACTTTATATCAGAGTTTTCAATAACCAAAATAACAATATTTTAGTCTGATCAGAAATTAAGTTCATAATAATTGAACAATATAACAAACTCCCACAAAGCTAGCATATAATCAAAACAGATAACACCCATACGAGCCACATGCTCATGAAATATTTTAGGTGGTAATACTTTTGTAAGTGGGTCTGCAATCATAAGGTTTGTACTAATATGTTCAATACAAATCTGAGAACTCTAAACCTTTTCTTTCACAACAAGAAACTTTATGTCAATATGCTTTGATTTTGACGAACTCCTATTGTTCTTGGAATATAACTCAGCTGTTTTATTATCACAATTTATCTTTAATGGTCTCTCAATGCCATCAATAATATATAGCCCTGTGATAAAATTTCACAGTCATATTCCTTGATTTGAAGCCTCATAACAAGCTATAAACTCTGCTTCCATTGTTGAAGAAGCTATAAGTGACTGCTTGATACTTTTCCAAGAAATAGCTCCTCCAGCCAA